TACACACACATGCCTATGAGAAGGTTTAACTCGTACTAGGGCCAATACGAGAGTAACAACAACAATAACAATTACAGCAATGTACAGTGGACCCTTAGACAACACAGGTTTGAAGTATGCAGGTCCACTTACATGCTTCTTTTTTTTAAATACTATAAATTTTTTCTTCTCCTTATGATTGTCTGAATATTTTCTTTTTTCCAGATGGCTTTGCTGTACAAATGCCCCATACATGTCAGTAACATGAAGTCTTTACATTGCTGGCCGGGGTACAGTCAACAGGAGGTTATTAGGAGTTCTGCTGCGAGGAGATCAAGTTACATGAGGGTTGTGACTGCTGGGGGTCAGCCTCTTGCCCCGCTGTTCGAGGGCGGACGGTGGTGCACCGTGAGTGACACGAATGAGGTCTCTGTGTCCCAGGACATCCTCTTCCTGAACCCCCCTCTGCTTCTTGTGAAGACGTGAGCTGACCCAGCACCTGCTGAAGGGACCAAGGGACAGGCTTCGGATGCTGCGCTAGGCGGTGACTGACCTTCCGAGGCTAAGTGGCGGGGTGGGTCTGGCCGCGACCTGCTGCCCTCAGGCAGGACACGAGTCTGTCCACGTCTTTGTTCCACAAACGCAATGCCGTTTCTGCCCTAGCTCAGCACGGAGCACTCATACCGTGGCCGTAAGTGCTGAGGTCGGAGGTGTGACCGCACAACTAGCTCAGGTTCTCTACCTTCTTCATAATTTCATGGGTAGAAGATTCATCCTCGCTGTAGATCTCAGCACACTTTTTCTTTTCCTGGTATGTGAAGAACTTGCACATTTTCACTTAAACGAAGCACTTTACAGCTTCTTTTTGTCATGTCCACATGGCCAGCTGCACTGGCTATGCCCCGAGGCTGTCAGAGTGGAATGAGGATCCCTCGACCACAGACACCCATACCACGACCACCGATCTGGTAACCAAGTTTGCCACGGACCGAGGGGCGGCAGCAGCTACCGCTCAGGTGTGCTGGGCACAGGGTGAGCCCTGGCAGGGCCGGGCAGTGTAGAGCTGTCACCCTACTCAGAGCAACGTGCAATTTAAGGAATGGACTGCTTATTTCCAGAATTTCTCACTGACGTTATCAGACTCGCGTACATTGGTAACTGAAACCGTGGGAAGTGAAACTGTGGGTGACGGGAGTAATATACTCTTATAAAATTATTCTCAGAGAGCGTGCCTTCGTTTGAATGCCACGTCTATGTGAGCACTGCCTGTCAGTGCCAGGACCTCATCACTTCACACCCCGTACTTCCGTCTGCAGAAGACGGTGTGCGTGAAAAGCTCTGGATGAGGTTTCTCAGCATGTGACAGTACTTTAACCATGTTCTGAGGTTTTGGATAAAGGTAAGCCCCAAAGTAGATGGTGTTTGGCATCTACTTTAAGAATGGGTCTTAAAGTCTGGCTTGCCTCTCTGTTAGCACGGTGACCTTACGTCTCTGTGTCCCCATGTGTTAAAACCAGAGGAATTACACTGACCCGAGTTGGTTACTAAGCCATTGGCTCTGAATTCCAGATTGACTTTTTTTGGAGAGATTTTTGCTACAGGGCATGTGGGCTTGTGGGAGAGACAGAGAGACAGAAAGTGAGAAATCACCACCTTGGGGGAATGGCCACTCTACAATCCCTTCTCCTCATTCTCCTGTCAGGATCTTGGGCACACGCAGTGTGAGTTTTAAGCCACAGGTCCAGGACTCAAACCATGGTCGACCACGTGAAAGTCCAGCGACATAACCATTAGGCTATCTGCTGGTCCCCAGAGCCACCTTTTTTACCCTCTGGTCTGTGAGGTTAGGACCCGGACTCTGCAAACCACATTTCAGCTTTCCCTCTCTGCAGACAGGGGACATTGAGGGAAACAGGTGGCAGGGGACAGAGGGGCGGGGGAAGCGGCTTGCTCGTCCTTCTGTTTGCATCCTACTGCCATCAGCGTCACCTGGCAAGGCTTTTCCTTCCAGTAGTGGCTGCTAATATCTGATCCTCAGACCATTCATGTTTTTCCATTGTCCCAATATCCTTTGCAGCAGAAGGATCCAGATCAGAACCACATTTTAGTGTAATACCAGGCATCAGGGTCTTCTTGGGCTCCCAGTGTCAGCCTCCAGGTGCGTTTGGTGGACAGAGAGCACAGTGGGGCGGGAAGGCCAAAGGGAGAAGAGAGGGACAACCAGACAGGAAGGTGAGACGGGAAGACAGGGCAGGACAAGCAAGAAACAGAGCAAGTGAAGTGGGGGAGAGAAGTCAGGGAGACAGTGAAGACAGGTCACCAAAACGCGAGGTTGACGATCGGGAATCCGGAACATCTAAGAAGACACAGGAAAACATTTCACGTACAACAATTTAAAGACATTGATACAGTTTATTGCTTAAAATGTACATTTCCGCGTTTGGAGAGAAAGCGCCCTCTGCCCCACATCCTTGGCACGTGTGTAGACTGCGCTGGTTTATTCCCGTGGTGAAGTCCCTCCAGTACTCGGGCTCTTCTCTCATGATGTGAACACAAGAGTTTGCTTTTATACTTTAAATTTATTTTGTAAATTTTATAATTCCAGATTTATGTTTTTAATTGTGCTTATAATTTAATTATGTTTATAATTCCAATTTATGTTCCGGATTTCCCAGTTGTCAACCTCGCGTTTTGGTGGCCTGTCTTCACTGTCTCCCTGACTTCTCTCCCCCACTTCACTTGCTCTGTTTCTTGCTTGTCCTGCCCTGTCTTCCCGTCTCACCTTCCTGTCTGGTTGTCCCTCTCTTCTCCCTTTGGCCTTCCCGCCCCACTGTGCTCTCTGTCCACCAAACGCACCTGGAGGCTGACACTGGGAGCCCAAGAAGACCCTGATGCCTGGTATTACATTAAAATGTGATGTGGTTCTGACCTGGATCCTTCTGCTGTTTCAAAATAAATTTAAATTTACAAAAGTTTGCTTTTGTAGTCACATCATGAAAGAAGACCCCTTGAGTAATACAAAAGCCAACATTTTTAAAAGAATTATTTATTTAATTTTATTTATTCATTCATTTGTTTTAATTTGACCAGAGAGAGAGAGAGAGAGAGAGAGAGAGGGAAAGTAAGAAAGCAAGCCACCAGGTCTGGGACTAGAACCGCGGTTGGCTATGTGAGATTGTCCAGTACCTTAATCACTACACTACCTGCTGGCCCCCAAAAGCAAACTTTTATATTACATTTTAACTGGTGGCTGTGTTAAATTACACAAGGAATAAGAGAAAAGCCTTAGATCACATTGTCTTAAGTTTAAATAACATCTTTAAAGACTTTTCATGGACATTGTATGCCTTAATCTTCACAACGTCACTCAGGTGGATAGGAGATCTACGGTTTTAAACCCTCCCCCACTCTACAAAACCAAAATGTAAGGACCAGCAGTTGGTGTCATGGCTGTGTCGCTGGACTCCCATGTATCTGACTGTGGTCCAAGTCCCGGACCCAGTGGCTTCAACTCACGCTGGGTGCGTGTGTGTGTGTGTGTGTGTGTGTGTGTGCCCAAGATCCCAAAAGGAGAAAGGAGGAGAAGAGATTGCAGCGTGGCCAAACCCCCTGGGGGGTGATTTCTTGCTTTCTGTCTCTCTGTCTCTCTCTGTCTTTTCTAGCGAGCGCATGCACCTTATAGCAAAAACCTCTCCAAAAAGAAAAAAAAATGTAAAAAAAAAAAGGAAAAAAGAAAGAAGATTAAATTATACACACAAATTTTGGAGTAGGAATGATTTGTCCAAGGTCTCCTGCTTTAATTGGAGAGGACAAAAAGAACCTGATTCCATACAAGGTGACTGAGGAAAATGTCCAAAGGAAGGCGGTCGTCATGACAAGTAGGTTCAGTTTGGCCAAATGAGAGCATGGCTCGGACTTAGCGCCCCAGTTGCTAAACTGTGAAGATTATGCTCCTGTCACCGCACAGCTCCACTTTCCTTCACTTGAAGATTTCTCTTTGCCTGAAGATCAGCCCATTATTGCTACTATCTTTTGCTATTATTTTTTACGTTTACTTATTTCTCCATGAGGGAGAGACAAAGACAGCCCCTAACGGGGTCTTGATGTCACAGTCCCGCCGGCTTCAGCCAGTCCTGGGCCGTGGGCACACATGGACCTGCTGTACTCGGTGAGGTCTGTGGCTCAGACCCAGAACCACCCCAGGAGGGTCAGCCTCAGAACATCAGAGGTGCACCACGAGCTGGCCCCAGCTCCGTCCCTTTTGCTGCTCAGCGTCAGCTCAAAGTGCCATCCCACAGGCACAAGGACAATCAGGAGCTGCAGGGCGGAGCCCTCCTCTCCATCTGGCCTTACGGCAGTGATCCCATGGGCGCCTCATGCCTCCAACAATGATGTCGCTTTGGGACAACACCACAGTGGTCAAGGTGGGTTCAGTGCAGCAGGTCCCATGGGCAAGAGATGGGTGGAGAAGACACGTTTCTTTCCCTTAGGGCTCATTAAATTGTCTGTTCATTTAAAAAAATATATATGTAATTAAAAAATATATATGCAATTACAATATATATATGTGTGTGTGTGTGTGTGTGTGTGTGTGTGTGTGTGTGTATTTAATTGTCACATAGTGTGTGTGCTTGTCAGAAAGAGAGAGGAAGGGAGAGAAAGAGGAAACCCCTCCCAAAGGGGCATGGTTATGCTGTAATCCTCCTTCCTCCATTGCTCCATCCCCTCAGGATTTGGGGTGTGCACACATATGCCCGGTGTGTTTCCCAAGCCACAGCATGCAGGATTTGAACCACAGGCAGCCATGTGGGATCCAGCTCCCTTAAGTACTGTGCTATGGGGGCAGCCCTGCTCTTCCTTTTAAAATTTTGCTTTTCTGACCTCCAGTGAATGTTATTTTTTCTGGTTTCTGTTTTGTTATACTGTCATGTTATTTTCTCATTACTTGTTTCAACACAACCAAATAAACCCTAGAGTATTGCAAAACCCTATTTCCCTCAGTGAAGAATGTGCTTTTTGTTAAGGCCGATGATTCAATACCCCACTGGCTTTCACAGAACAGTCAAGACCTTCTTAAGTAAATTTGTTTTTACCAGGCATTTAGGGTAAATTCTGTGGGTTAATAGCCCAACATGAAGTGAAATCTTCCCAAGAAATATAGCAATAATTGGCAAATCCACGGCTATCATTGAGCCACAGGCCCAAAGTGGCGACATGGGAAGAGGACGCCGAGCAGTAAATGTGACGGAAACACAAAGAACAAAGCGAGTCGTTACAGACTCACGGAGTACTGGAAGCAAGACTCTGAGCAAACTGATAATATGCACGGCGCGTGTTGGGAGCAGCCAGAGGCTACGTGTTTTTCCGTAGCCACTCAGCTATCCTGGAAATTTGCTTTTTGTTTTTCAGATTTTCATTCTTCATTGTCTGTAATTTGGCTTGAACTGCGATCTTCTGGTGTTCTTCCAACATGTCACTGAAAAATTGCTGCAGCTGGAAGGACAGAAAGACAGCTGGTCAGAGCACTCCACTTCTCACGGCAACGTGACTGCAAACGGGCTGTGGGTGTGGGGATGACTGGAACGTGAACCCGGACTGTGCCGCTGGGGAGCCGGGCTGAGGCCACGTGATGAGCACACACCGGCACGGAACGCCACCGTGCCACCTGCTGGCCCCACCCGTTCCTTACTTGGGAATGTTTGGGGAGTGATCTCACCCACTGGCTAAACTTCTCATGGGTCAGGCCAAGCCTTCCGCTTTGAAAACATGTGCTCCAACATCACCTGCGAGCCAGATCCCACTGTGTAAGCTCTGTTTCCAAAGCGTGCCTGCCTCAGTGGATTAGAACTCAGAACACAGATCACCAGAAGACAGTGAATCCCAAACCGCTTGCAAAAGTTCACTTGAACCCGAAAGCACTTCAGAACGAAGAGTGGTAGGGCCATCAAGCTCTACAACGTAAAAGCAAGGTTCCAGGGAGAACTCAGAGGGCGAGCCAGGGACTAGCCTCCCACTCTTCCCTGTCCCGCCTGCACCTGGCAGGAGATGAGAGTCAACAGCCCACAGCTCCATACAAGCCGTGTGCCGGAATGGGGCTCCTGCAATGCTGGGAGGGGAGGGGGCTCTATGGGATTGCAGGTGGGCTGCATGTGTGCTTAGGAGTAGGAGTGAGGTGGGCTTCTACGGGGGTAGACTGTGAAGACGGGGCTCTATGGGATTGCAGGTGGGCTGCATGTGTGCTTAGGAGTAGGAGTGAGGTGGGCTTCTACGGGGGTAGACTGTGAAGACCACAGGAGGGCAGCAGTTGGTGTAATGGCTATGTCACTGGACTCCCATGTAGTTGACCGTGGTTCAAACCCTGGACCCAATGGCTTGAACTCAGGCCAGGTACGTGTGCATGCGTGCTCAAGATCCCAAGAGGAGAAAGGAAGAGAAGAGATTGCGGTGTGGCCATCCCCTCGGGGGGGGGTGATTTCTTGCTTCCTGTCTCCCTGTCTGTCTTTGTGGTGAGCGCACACGTCCTATAGCAAAATCCTCTGCAAAAAAAAAAAGAAAAGAAAAGAAAAGAAAAGAAAACCATGTCCATGGGGAGTGACAAGGGACTCAGGTGGCTTCTTTTCCACTTTTCTTTTTGGTAATTATTTTAGATATTATCATGCGAACGGATGCTGATCTGTTAGCAGCATGTTAGTGTCCAACAGTGTAATCATAGTTCACTCACTTGTTTTGAAATGGTAGTAATTTACTGTTAAATCCACGTTTGCATTTTTAACCAGTTGAGTGCCAATGTTTATAGCAGGATTATTCACAGCAGCTGAAAGGAGCCAGAAGGTCCCACCTTTTGATGAACAAATAGAGAAAACACAGGACACAAATACAATGGGGTATTGCTCAGCCTTAAAGTTCTGACCTAGGCCTCACTTCGGGTTCACCTTGAGGAATGACGCCATCTGAGACAGGCACAGAGGGCCCGTATCCAGGGCCATCGAGTCTGCAGATGGAAAGTGGAACAGTGACCGCTGGGGAAGGAGGAGGGTTTTTATGTATTTATTTATTTATTTTGGGGGGAGAGGATTTTGCTATAGGGCACGTGCGCTCACCAGACAGAGACAGAGAGACAGAAAGCGAGAAATCACCCCCCGGGGGGGATGGCCACGCCACAATCCCTTCTCCTCCATTCTCCTCTAGGGATCTTGGGCACACACACACACGCGCCCGGTGTGAGTTTTAAGCCACCGGGTTTGGGACGCGAACCGCGGTTGACTACGTGGGAGTCCAGTGACATAGCCATTACGCTAACTGCTGGTCCCAGGAGGAGGGTTTGTTTTTAAAAGGGTACAGTTTCAGTTTCACAGGATGAAAAAGTTGTAGAGATATATTGCCTAACAAGATACAGATAATGAACACTACTGTTATAGACACTTAAAAATGATTACGATTGGGGGCCAGCAGGTGGTGTGAGTGGGGTCGCTGGACCCTCATATGGCCAACCACGGTTCAGGTCCTGGACCTGGCGGCTTGCTTTCTCACTTTCTCTCTCTCTCTCTCTCTCTC